TGTGCAGTAAAATTTCAAAAAACTCTCATACAGTTCTTCAAAATGCCATGACATGATCTTTAGGGTAAATTTTAAGAGAAAATTCTCTCCGCGTAGAAACTCTCAAGCTATCGCTTACATAGACTTAAATTATTTACATATATTTATTAAATGCTCGTCGAGAAAATTATTTAAAAGTAACGCGTGCTTCTAGCGCGTTGTCAATACATTTATCTAATACACATTCAATTCCTTCAAAAAGAATTGTTCCGATTATACCATCACGCAGACACAATTGTTTTTTAGTCAATTGCATTAATCAACCTTTACATACCTAAATCTACATTCGCTTCGATTACATCCTCGCCAATCTTTTATCTGATTAGCAGTCCATATTCTTGTTTGATAGAACACCAATTAATTTATTAATTATAGTCCCCGCACGAATATAATTAATAAATTCGTGTTTTATTTATATAAAATAGTTTTCTTTTGAATTTTTCACGTACCTATATAACATAGTATGAAGAATTCCTCTAATTTGTACATGCGTTTTAAATAAATCACAGAAACGTCGGGCTATTTTTAGAATATATTCAGATAAATGTCTATCGAATGAATCGGTCTATTTTCGGCCTGTCTAGGCGAATTCTAACCGATGCCAAAATCTACTCTGTAAGATCGGGCGGCGCCGTTGTCGCGCACCTTTGAAATTAAATTATTTTGGCGCATCATCGAGCGCCAAAAAGATTCTTTCTTAACACTCCTGTGTCGACGCGCAAAACATTCCAAGGAAATCTGGCGCTCGTATAAATGAACCAACATATTTTCCCCCCTTTCACTCCTCAGGAAAATTCAACATTTACATATCGTTTCATGACGAGAGCACCGCTGCATCCTTCATATCGTTTTCGAATTGTTTTCTTAGTTATTTGCAATGCAACTTTTGTTAATTTCAGAGCACAAAAAGCAAATATTGAGTTTAAAATATTTTTAAAACGTAGAGGAAAGTCCCCTATTATGAGGCAAGTTCCCAATATAAGATAGCGGGGTTCTTGTTAAATTAATAATCATCATCTCTTTGGTTCCACCGTGAATTTATCGCTCGTGAAATCTGTTTAGTGGAAAGTTCATCGCTAGATCGTGTAATCGTCGCGAAAAAAAGATTTGTGATTGAATTTGGACGTTGAAAACCTGCTGTCTCACATTAGAAGCCTATCTCATAATAGGGGACTTTCCTCTATATTTATTAAATGCTTGTCTGGGAAATTATTTAAAAAATAACACGTGCTTCTAGCGCGCTACCAACATTTATCCGATACATATTCAATTCCTGCAAAAAGAGTTGACTTTAAAAATAACTCTTGCAATAACTGCGTACACGGAGAGAATTTTCTCTTAAGACACCCGGAAAATCACGTAACCTTGGGACAACATGGCACTTTGAAGAACTGTATGAGAGTTCTCTGAAATGTTACCATACATTCTACCAATAAAATGTACACTAATAGCGAATTCGCTTGCTTGCACTAGTGCGCACTGAGCGCACGCTAAGGCACATGTTTATAGTCAATTGTTATATTTAACATTGCCTTAAATATATGTTCAAAGAGTATTTAGCCAAGAAGTGATCCGTATGGATGCTACACAGATCATTTCACTGGCTAAGAAATATTTCGAGAAATATTTCAGACGATCCTTAAACGTAAGAATTGACTGTAAACAAGCCTTTGTGTGTACTCAGTGCGCACTGGTGCAAACAACCGAATTCGCCACAAGTATAATTGCTAGTAGAATGTTTAGTAAAATTTCAAAAAACTCTCATGAAATTCTTCGAAACGCCATGTTACAACGCCGACGATTATATGATTTCCAGGATTAATTTTAGGAAAGAAATTCCGTGTACAAAAATGTCTCTATTGTACGGCTCGAATAATCGCGGGAATTTGTAAATGATCGGTAATACGCTCGCGTATTCAGCTGTGAAAGCGTTAACGATCGTCTCTTCTCTTCTTTCTTCTCCTCGTTCTCTTCAAAGAGTACTATTGCTGTCCCTTTAGAGCTGTTCATTTGTCACTTGCCAGCAATTGCTAGCGAACGGAAAGCAAACGGTCGCGCTACAATTCGCTGTTGCAGTGTCCACGATTTGATCGCAATTTATCACTTGATCGACGTACTGTTTAACAGTAATCGCAAAATCGGGATGAATCTGATATCAGTGCACTCTCGCACGTTCCATATCGATTCGATTCTAATCGGCGATAATAGATAAATCCTCAACATCTAGCGTACCGAAGGCGACTCTTACTGGCTCGCTCTCGTCCCTTGGAAGGAGAATAGGTCTCAGCTGCGACCTACCGCATCCAATTCCATGAAGAGCGCGTTTTTCGAGCCCGTTACATTTTTAAGCGTATACGTGCGAAATCGCGGGTAGGACCGGGCGGAACATCGCGCGCCACAAAGGAGACTTTACGCGACGGCAGCACAAACGCTAACTGCGACAGAACAACAAGCAGCACCGAAGACACAAGGCTACAACCTGCGGTTAAAATTATATTCTAAATGCGGGTGCGAGGTGTCGTATAGATGCACCTCGCGAAGGTCGGACGTCCACGTGCGTTTTCCGATTGATCGTCCCCTGAAAAGCGTCAATGAAGTATCCTTGCTCTTTAAAGCCTCGTCTACACAGAAGTCGTAAAGTCGTAGTCGTAAGAATAGTAGACTATGACTTTCTGATTATGATGTGTTGATTTGATGTATAATGATTGGTTAATTCTTACGTGTCCGACTGAATTGACCAATTAAGCCTCGTCCACATAGAAGTCGTAAAGTCGTAGTCGTAAGAATAGTCGACTATGATTGGTCAATTCTTGTGTGTCTGACTGAATTGCCTAATTACAGCCGATTATTCTTACGACTGCGACTCTGCGACTCTCATTGTAGACCCAGCATAACTCGCCCCGCGAATTGCTCTGGCATTTAAAGGCCTGCAGCTCCGAACAAATTTGACCTTTCCTATAATACATTTTTATCAAGTTCGCGATCTGTGCGACTCCATTAAAACGCACACTGTGAAAAATGTCCGATTAAATATAATTGGATAATCCAATTAGCCATCGAAAAATTAGCCATCAAAAACACGATTTAATTGGATTATCCCATGAAAAGTTTTCTCAGTGCACGTTTCAAAGGGTTAAACGAAACAAACAGGGATCTTTTCCTCGAGAATTTTACGAGTTGCGAGGAGCTCGTTGCGGGCGCAAAAGTTACTACCGCCGTAACGTTAATTCGTTTTGCGGCTGTCGTCGACGAGGAGGCCATCGCGCGTCTTAATGGCCGACGTGAAAAGCCTCGGGGGGTACTCGAGAGAGCGGAAGAGACGCGAAAGCTTTGTGCGTTCACCAAAACGAGTCCATGCCCTGTCGGATCGGTCGAGCGTGTGGCCCTCGCAAACCGGCCCCGACGGTTTTCGGCAGAAACGCAGCCGCAATATCGATTCGCGCCGGCGAGTAGTTGCCGCGAAGCCGAGACAGCTCGCGCTCGCGTATTTATAGATGACACATTTAGGCCAGAACGGTTTAAACTATCTTTATTTTGGCAGGTCAGCCTCCACTCGGTCGCCGGCTCTCTCCAGATCACCGATCTGCAATGGTCAGTCCCCAGCCTCCACTCGGTCGCCGGCTCTCTCCAGATCACCGATCTGCAATGGTCAGTCCCCGCGACCGGCAATTAAAATCCAAGACCTCTCCGCAGTCTCCGCTGCCGCCGATCTCGCCTCGACGTGAATATCTGTTAAAAGCGAACGCGCTGCATCTCGTCCCTTTTTTGCTCTAGTAGAGAAAAGTACCCTATCATGAGATAGGCTTGTAATATGAAGTAGAGGGGTTCCTGCTAAATCAATAGGCATCATCTGTTGGTTCCACCATGAATTTATTATCCCTGGAGTGAAATCTGTTTAGTGGAAAATTGATTGCTAGATCGTGAATATCTG